GTAATTACACGAAAGTAGTACTGAATTATTAATAGCAAGTTGAAAAACAAGAAGAAAAAACAGCAAAATCAAAAAGAACCTGTTTCAACCTCCAGTTTTGTTTTCTGTTTTATGATATACCATCTTCAAATTGTAACACATCACCCTTTTATAACTTAGTTATAAAGTAACAATGGTACATGTATAATAGAACACCTACAACGCAATCTAAGCTAACAATAACTGTATTAAAATATATTGAGGACTTGTTATTGCGACACTATATTTTATTTTCTTTTTTACAGTGGCTAATGACATACAGTAATGTCAAAGTAAAAAGTACATAATCCATTTTTGTTGGAGGCACTACATCAAAGCAGTTGTGCTTTCATTTTGGGCTATCTGCCAGTCAGTTCATCTAATCTGTGAAGCTCCAAGGAGTCTCGCCTATCATTAAGGCACTTGTTAATTTTTTCTGTCTATCCCAAATTATAGTAGAATTATTTCCATGTCTCGTTCTCTTGTGTTTTCCTTCTATTTTACTGTTTTTATTAGTCAATACTCAGGCTACCATCTTTTTATGACGTAATATCATGTGATTTGAACAATTAATAATGAAACAGTTTGAAAACACGTACAGTGGATGTTTAAGTATGATTACATAGTTCAATAATGGGTTACATCCGATTTCGAGGATCTACATATGTATACAAATTTTTAATTAAAAAACTACTGTAAAAGGAAATCTGTTTTTGTGTTTTTTTGAGCCCCCTGTGTACTGGACAAAAGTTCACTGCACCTACCACACTTATTTGAGCCCATAACCATGTTACATACGTTATTTGGCTGTCAAACTGCCGTGGAATCGTACCCTCCCAGTCTCACCTCTCTATACAAGCATCCACCTAATCTACCAGTCATTGGTGAAAGAGAATAGTATGAAAGTATCGAAGCTCTTAAAAAAAAATGGCACAAATTGAAATTGGTACCTGTCAAGAGTTGGAGTTTTTTCTTCATTTCTTTTCTTCTCTTCACACTTTTTCTGTGACAAATTACGGATAATAATAACCAGTATAACACAGATGTAAGAAACAGGAACTATTGTTTCTAAAAAAATTCAAATAATGCTACATTTAACATGCACCTTCTGTTTTTCTTTTTATAAATATTCAGAGATAACTTATTTGTGTATTTCTCATCCAAGAAACGTTTCAGTTTTAGTTTATTTAATGTAAAGAATATAATTAATCTATATTCAAACGCTAGGAATATATACAAATGTCACAGGTATATACCTGGTTTCACTGCTAGGTTTCAGTGTTAATATTAATTTTTTAACTGCTTTCATCTTTGAATCTGAGAAAGAATATATACACATAACGTGCACCCATCATATAAAATAGTTAAAATGGTTTACGTGACACACATTCGTATATATAAATATATTCATAAGAATTTGAGAGACACTCAAAGTTACTTGTGGACATACAAATAATTTTTAGTCTTGCGCAATGGTAATTTATAACTTACATCAAATGCATTGTAGATGATTCTCTTATCACATGCGTAAGGTAAAATGAATAGGCGTTAGTCTTTGTACATTAGAGGGCGCTGTTACGTTAAAGTATACCAGAAGCAAAACGCTAATAGTTCTTAAAGAAAACGATTAAATATAGAAGAATTATAACGTTAATACACGAAAACAAAATCTAATTAATTGTGACATTTTTAATTTAACCAGATTCCTCCAAAAAAATTCAACAGAAGAAATTTCTATCATGAAGGTTCAACGTATCTCTCTCTACTTTCTTATATCTTCAAATGTCTAAGGGTGGAATCCATGAAGGTGGTATACTAGCCGTTAAAACTTGATATACATTTTCATTCCAAGGGTTTTGTTTCAGTTTTCAGGCCAGTTTCTGATTAAACGATACACTGAGATAGTTCGAAATTTCTGTTGAAGCCAATTAATTTTGTGAAGATTTAATAAGTACGCTAAAATGTTTCTCCTATGTATTCGTGTTTTTTGTTGTTGTTTTTTGGAGAACGTAATTTAACAATTCAAAGACTTATCCACACAAACTCGTTGAGGATAGCTGAGGAGAGTGAGGAAAGTATTGATTAGCATCATTTGAGACTAGGCACGCAACTAATACATACCTTTACAACAAGGTCAACAACTGTACGTAAACTCGATGAGGATAGCTGAGGAGAGGGAGCGAGGGTGTGAATTCAGATACATGTACACAGAATACTACACTAATTTACTAACATAGCTGGAAAGGTCATCGATGTATGGTGAGCTGTTGATAGAGTAAGTTACAGCATGATCTGCCAACTACGATGAGGCCTTTATTGTACAATGACGTTAAGCTTTAGTGTGTAACATAAACGTACCAATACATAAGGTTCCCCTAGATATCAGCACAGTGGAACAGTATCGATTATACGTAACTTGCAATAAATAACAAGAGGAGCATTTTAGTTAATATTAATTAATGTCTCAGTCACATATATATCTTCGATTATATAGAATCACTGTTAAAGTGAACGATGATTATTGAATTTTTTTAGATATTATTTGCATAGTATAAAATTTCAAAGATTTTCGCCTTAAATTCATTTTTTAAATTCTCCCTACTAGCTTACGAAGATATATATCATTCGTTTAGTGTACTGGATATAATTGTTGCAAAAATATTAGAGATGAAGGATATATTTCATATCATGGTATTCAAGCAGAATGACGAATCAGTTTTTAAGTTTGGTTGGTTTAGAGTAAAGCCACTTTCGGCTATCTGCTGTGTCTGTCGCGGGGGCTCGATCCATGAATTTTAAAGGTATAGGTCTGTAGACTTACTAGTTGGCAAGTCTTCCACATACTCATATCACATGATGTTATGTTAAACTTATATTAAAGTTTTTCTTCATTACCCATTCAAGCCGTCTCCAACCATTATTAGTCTCAAAGTGGGTTCCTCGTCATCGAATTTGAAAATATCACATGTTTCATAGCGTAATCACTATTCAAAATACCATTATGACCGCAGACTAACCCGTATACATAATGAGCAGTAAATTTAAAACATGTAAAAACAAAATATCGTCATTATTTACAAAGGCAGCATTGCAGTGTATTTTAGTTGGTGTAGAATTAGCCAGTGGGTTTCATTTAGTGTGCTGGTATTCAGTCGCACGAGCACCCTGTGATTACAAACTGAAGTTGATTAGACTGAAAAAGATGTTATCCCTTCGATGCAACACTTACACTAGACTTAACTTTTTGTTTCATCAACACGAACAAGTCAGCCAGGTGATTAATGAATGAATAATCTTTGATCATTTGTTCCAGTGTTGTATTACAGAAAGTAAATTTGCCGTTTTTTCTTCTTTAAGCGTATAGAGTTATTTCTCTTGAATAGTTGTTTCAATCACGATTTCACGACAAAATTAGCTGTGAAAAGAAACGAGGCGTTTAATATTTCCAAGAAGATTTTTTTCTTCGTTGTTTTCCAATGAACATTCTTTGATCTTCCATTTATAGCAAGTTTCGTTCTTTCTGCTATCATAATTATCTTGTACGATTTTATCACAGTTAAACAGTACAAGTGATATCACAATGATTGATCGTCATCGCTGATTAAATAATACCTTTCTAAAATTAAACAGAGAAAGAAAATACGTCGACCATTTTTCATCTATTTCAAACACATATTATCATGGTGATTATACATCAACCTGTTTTAATGTCTTCTTTTTCTAAATCTCTCAATCAATCATGTTGGGTTTGGAGGCTAATAAAAGAAAAAGATAAACTTACAAGACTAAAGATGTATAGTAAGGGGGTGTAGTAATATTTAACACAGCAACTAAGAGATAACGTAACTTTTGTTAATACAAAACAAGAAATTTTACATTGAATATTTGTTGAAGTCAGTTAGTAAATTCAGCTAATCTAAATTATTTTGTGCCTGAAATCCACTTACGTAAATATAAACACATGGTACCTTGAATCAACAAAGATGTTATTTTCTGTACATAAGAACTCGAAAAAGGTGGTACCATTAAGCTGAGCCTAGAACCAGGAACATTTGATATATTTATCTACAGAAATTAACAGGCAGAGTATAGCTGTCTTTAGAGCCAAAATACTCGAAATATTTCTCAAACATCATATATATATATATGTGTGTGTGTGTATTTGTTTGTGTTTAAGCGCAAAGCTACACACTGGGCTATTTGCAAGTATCAAAAGTGAATGGTAACGTTACAGGCCCTCAAGCTGAGCAACTGTGCATCATATAAATGCATGTATATATAATTTTTCATTTCAGTTTAAATATTTTCTTGCTGGGTTCATATTTGTTCGCTACACAAATAATATTACCTGTCATTATACAATTTCACTATTTTTTGTTTAAAGCAGTGAGTTTACAGATGGTTTTGAATGACATAAGAAACTTTGATTTGATAACTACAACTATACAGGGTTAAGTAAAATAAGCGTGATGTAGTTACTCCTAGGATTTCTCTAGCTTAAAAAGATTAAAACTGTGAAAAAAAAGGATAGCAGAAATTACACGAAATTAGAAATTATTTGCCAAAATAAATGTTATTAAGGATAATAAAAATATTCGGTGGCACAAATAATGCATAAAAAACAACTAATTAATGTCTGTTCTCAAGCTTAATTTAAGCTTAGATTTTAAAATTTATAAAATACAAAAAGATGGCTTTCAAATTTTCATATACGAAAAAACTTTTGTGATGCTCCGTGGATGACACTTTACATTACACAAAGTAAAATACATTGAACTTAGTCATCAAATATCGTTATCGCCTATGTCGATATTTCCATTTTATATTATTAAAATTGCGCAGAATGAGAGTCTGATCCCATCTAGGAATTTCATTTGATAAACAAAATATGCGATTGAATTTCAGTACAAATAAAATAAGGAATTACCGGAATTTTAGTTTGGCTTGTTTTCAGAATTATTGTTAATTTTTGTTACATATTCTTTTCACTAAACTTGCTCTAAGTTTTATACCATGGCGTGCTTATACACGGAGAGAACGTTCTTAAATTAAAGCAACCATTGCGCTTTATTTTCAAAATCTGATTGGCATAATTCAATTTAGAAAAATAACTTTTTGTAAGAACTTTTGCTGGCTCGGTAGGTAGCACGATTTATATGTATACATTAATAAATAAGAACTTTTACTGTCATGTTAACTAGCACGATTTACAAGTATACACTCACAAATAAGAACTTTTACTGACATGGTAACCAGCACGATTTATACGTAAACACTCAGAAATAAAAAAGTTTTACTGACATGGTAGCTAGTACGATTTATACGTAAACACTCAGAAATAAGAACTTTTACTGTTATGGTAACTAGCACAAAACGATTAGAATAACGAGACCAAATCATCCGCATCAAAAGAAAACCAAAAAGTGGAAATGAAATCAGTAGAAAAGACGGGAAAGGGAAGAAGGAGAAAGTAGAGTAATCTGCAATAAAGCAATTTCTTCCGGGAGAACAGGCTAGCTTATAGTTGGTCTCCTTTATTACCAGCGTCAGTCGATACTTGCTTGTATCTTCCTTGTTCAAGTTTGTACGGAATACACGAACTTATCTTTCTGCTTCATAAACCTTAAAGAGTGTTGTTCTGCTCGCCATTCCGGTAACTATCTCCATTACGACTGCACAGTCCGTGATAAAGATAAGTAGAAAACACAGAGTTGGGCGTCAAAATGATGGAGGAGAAGCAACGATTCCATGAGACCTAAAAAAAATAATGATTGATATAAACTTTCTACAGGTTGTTTGACGGGAAGATAGGAAAAAAAGATACAAGCCCCAATTTTACACCATTGTTATTAAAAGCCCGAATAATTTATTAATGTCGAACTATATTTCACATCCAAACAAAGCATTTTATATTAATATACTGACGAATAGTTATGTGATAATTATTACAAGAATTTCTCCATTCATTTGTGGCAACAAATAACTAGTGATGGCTGTAATATCAAATCTCCTGGACAAAAACCGATTGAAAGTTGTTTTTTATTAACGCGAAGCTACATGATGGACTACCTTTGTTGTGCCAACCGTGGTTACCGAACCCAGTGCTTTTGAGATATAAGCTCTCAAGCTGGGCGGGATTGAAATATGAAATTTATATTATTTATATTATTTATTTATATTATCCAAAAGCTGTAAATGTGTTTTGTGATTTAACCAAGCATTATTTTGTATTTTTTAAAAATAGTTTGAAGGAAGTATGTTTTGTTTTGTATCTGAAACTCTCTTGTAAACGTACACCTGAAAATAAAGACAGTTTGTTGACATTGTAGTTTGATTCAACCAATCATAATAATTTTGTGACACACATACACTAACTGTTATGTTAGAAATCAAGTAATTATTGCACCTTACAAACCGGTTAGAGCCAACATTGGTGCACGTTTCTGCACTCCTTATGCGACATACACGTATTTACGTGGCCTGTGTAGGTAGAATATTACATAACCTTTCCTCATAAATGTCCAAAATTAAGCTATTGTTTCATACTCATTTGAGTGATTGTTTCAGATATAAAATAACATGTAGCTTAAAATGCCGTTGGCTTAAACTTATATTCTCAGATTTTGATGAACACTTGAAAAATAGAACACCTTACATTCAGTAAGCCACAAGGTACTCAGACAAAGTGCTTAAAGTTATTGATAATAAAAATAAGCTGAAATGTTGCAGAAAACTGCATAAGATTTGAAGTTAGAGTTGTATCGTTTCTATTGCAATAAGATTCATGTAAATAAGAATAAGTGTAAATAACGCCTTTATAGCAATCAACCTGTATTCAAGTCTCCAGTTTTTGTGTGTATAGCATTCAAGACATTAGATTAACCGTAATGACTTGGTGGTTAGGACGTTCTCCTCGCAACTTGAAGGTCGCGTGTTCGAATCCCGTCACCGACGGTCAATCCCACTATTCGTTGGTTAAAGAGAAGCCAAAGAGTTGCGGGTGGCTGGTGTTGACTAGCTGCCTTCCCTCTAGTCTATCACTTCTAAATCAGTGCAGATAGCCCTCGAGTAGCTTAGTGCGAAATTCCCAAAACAAACAAGCAAAATAAATTAGGTGTTTAATATTAAACCTAACCTTCCGTAAGTTGCATTGCGAAATATAAACAATGATGCGTATTTCTTTACTTAGTTGTCTTTAGAAGTCTACTATTGACTGCTTAAAATCAGTACCTTAAGAATGTCATGTCATTTTTCTTGCCATCAATTTTAGACTATTATTGTATTCTCATTGGTCAGCTGAGCCTTAATGCCCACAAATGTAAACATCTGGCAAAGAGACGACACTTAGATGTAAAACAGAGCAGTCATTAACCTATAACATGGAACTCGTAAGCACAATTACTAAGGATAATTTTATTTCAGATCTATTGTAAGACAGATAAGTCTTAGTTTTGGATAAATTCAGTCTAATCTTAAATTTTGTACAGTACAGTCCACTCTTAATTATAGTCTTAGTTTAGTTCTGTTATAGTTTGTCTGGAATGCTGTACACGTTAATTCTTTGGATTCCTTACAACGTTTATCTTATCGACTCCATAATTAGAACTCGAGCTGCTTTCGGACCAGGATTTCAGAGAAGATGAATCTGAAAAGAGCACGTTTTTGCGTTCGTTTCATCTCTAACCTCTGGCTTTTGTATAGTTTTGTAACGAGTCTTTCCTCCACAGTGTCCTGTCATTCACTTAGTTCAGTCCGCTTACTAATTAAAATCTATAGAATCTCCTGTTATTGCGGAGATAACTTATACATGAACATACATCACTAAGCAAAAATACGTCAACGTCAACAGGTCTCTGTAGTAGCCAGGACTCAAATATCGATAATTTCTAAAAAACGGTTAAAACTTTACGCTATAAACAAACAACAGTTCTTACGGATATCATTGAAATGAGTTTATTGTAGAAACACAGTGATTTGTGAAATGTTTTTCACAAAGGTTTCAAATCAAAGAATACCGAATGTGGCTTAACACTTTAAGTACTTATAAATGAATAACAACATTACAGTGATTGGGAAATGATTTTCACAAAGGTTTCAATTCAAAGAATACCGAATGTGGCTTAACACTTTAAGTACTTATAAATGAATAACAACAGCGTGAGAACTGAGATCCGAAGTTAGGTTTATAACATTTTTTTTGTAATAAAGCTCATGTTTCAAAGTTAGATGCACATTAGATGCAATCAAACCTGCATTCAAGTCTCAAGTTTTTCTTCATAGCAACCTGGATTCAAGACACAAGGTTAAGTCTGTGATATTCTTAATACGAAATCTATTAGTCTATCCATTAGAGCAAAATATAAACATTTTAAATTGTATTTTTAGAGTTTTAGATGTCCTTAAGAAAAAGGTTTAATTATTTATTTAAAGAAAGTAGGAAAATCATGGGTTTTACGAACATAATAATCATTTCGAACATGTCTGTGTTGGATTTAATTTCCACTGCACAATAAACTAGCAAAAGGGAAAGTCTGGTATAACACAGTGATCATCACACGTTAATTATAAACAAATATTAATATAGTCTATAAACATATAAGTTCTATAGAAAGTGTGAAATGACATTAGGCTGCTTTTTTGTTCCAATAGAAATGACTAATAGCTTCTGTAAGTCTGTCCATGTAT